TGATTAAAAGTGGCGATGTCCTAACTGCGAGAGTGGTTTATATGTTTTATGCTTGTCGAGTGTTAATGAAGCCAGAAAAGCAAGACGTTGCAGAATTCTACTGTGTCACTGCAAAAAAATCAAGAGACAAGACACAGTGGAACGAATGAAGGAGTTTTCTCCAAGCCTAAATGTAGTATGTATGTTGGTTTAACAGGTGATGAAGATGACATTATCCTGCTGTTGGAGAGGCAGTGCCTGAATGTGTGTTGTATGTTGTTCTAACAGGTGATGAAGATGACATTATCCTGCTGTTGGAGAGGCAGTGCCTGAATGTGTGTTGTGTGTTGGTTTAACAGGCAATGAAGATGACATTATCCTGCTGTTGGACAGGCAGTGCCTGAATGTGTGTTGTATGTTGTTCTAACAGGTGATGAAGATGACATTATCCTGCTGTTGGAGAGGCAGTGCGTCGGGGCGAGTCTGGACCACCTGGTGCCGGAGGACCTGTCCCGTCCCGACGTCACCCTGCGTGTGCCCAAAGGCCAGCGCCGCCCGAAGCACGTGGGGCGCCCCTCCTCCCTGCACATCACCCCTGGCTACCTCTCCACACCCGTGGGGGAGGGCGAGGGTCTGGAGGGGGCGGTCGGAGAGGACCGATCCGCCTCCCTGCCTCCGAGCACTAAACAAGGGCTGAAGGAAAGGTGAGTGAGTTTAAGGGACTAAAGGGCATCCCAATAAACTGAACTAAAACTGAATTTGAGTGACTGTCTTTTAACGTTGGATTCATTAAAATTAGCGCTTTGGTAGAGTAGTCCACCCCGTGTCTTGTTTTGCATATTGCGTAATCGTCAAGATTTCTTTCGGTCATCTACAGGAGAAGCTTCAATCACAGTGTTCAGGGTAAATATGATCACATGAAAGACGAGAACACAATGACTCACTTACTGATAACTGAAAATAACATTGATCTTTCACTGCTTAGAGATTGTTTAATTGCTGTCCATGTGGACTTGTTTCTCACGGCCTCTCATTTTGGCACAGGTTTCTTGGCAAAAGAAAAAGAAAAATCCCGTGGTGGTTAGTCTGGCTGGTCAGGAAACGACGAAAGGCAGCCAAGAAGGGCAAAGCGGAAGGTAGGTGATATCTGCTTTCTCATCACACGGCCTTAGCGACGATGCTGAGCTGCGGAGATAAAACTTTCTACGATGATGCCACAAAAATGTGTAGTGCATAATTTCGGGCCTTAATCTTTCCATTTGAAGCGAAGGAACGCTCATTTCCAATGGTGTCAATGGACTAATTATCTACCTGCTGGTATCTGCTGGTAATTTGTCTGTACAGACGACAAGCTAGTATAGTAGAGATGATATTTTGTTGGCTCTAAACTGTTGACAACTTGTGCCCTATTTGCCAAGTTAAGACCTAGGTACAGGCTGCAAACTTTGTAACTGCGAATAATCCTACCTTGTAAACTGCTATAATAACTGCAGCATAACAACATGCTCTTGTCGCATAATGCTACCCTTTAATTGGCTTGGCTTGGCTTCTCACGCTTCTTCTGGTACTTACATATCTTTTGCTTTCATCCCGTAAAACCACCAACAACCTTAAGACCATTGGCTTTAAATCATTGTGTTTAGCATCTATCTTCATTATTAGTGGATACATGTACATTATGGTGTTCAGTGTTTATCAAAGTGTCATCGGTTGCGCGTACGATTCGATGCCATCTACGAAATTATTCCTGATTATCACATTGTCCATATCGTGAAATTTAAAGAAAATGCGCCCGTCTACAACTTGGTCATGATGTCACAAAGTCTACATTTGTTGTCTGGCACCAGAAAGGTGATCTTTGCTGCATGCTTTCTCATTGAAGTTCCTTCAAAAACACCAGTTTCAAAAAGACTGCGAAGGTCGATGTAACGATATCTTAGATTTGAATATATATATATATATTCAATACAAAATCATTTCGAAAGTGAGCAGCAGCAAATTTCGCCTAACATTGGTGCCTTTGCACAAAAAAACTATTTTAAATCATTGTGTGTAGCATTGGGCCTGTACAATTGAACTGGTTGATCCAAATTTAACAGAGACGTGCACGAATGACACCCAGTATTAAGTCATGAGCGTTAATAACAGCAGACTGCCATGGCATTCCGACCTGTGGCCTGTCCCAGGTACGTCATCTCAACCTCCCACCATTTTCCTGTCCTCTCTGCTCACCTCCGAGGCACACTAACGCCGGACCCTCGTTTGCTGCTTCCAAACCACGCCCCTGTAACCAACTAGTGGCCGCTTTTACCTTAGAGGTGTAGACTGTCACAAGATTGTATGTAAGCCCTGTTAATTTTCACCAGGCGAAGAGGAAGAGCCAAAAGTCCAGGGGTCAACGTCCCCGGTCTTCTATCCAGAGGGTTCAGGGAAAGCCCGGTTAGCGACCCCGGAACAATTCGAGCACCCCGATGGAACACCACATGCAGAAGCGAAAATCAAGGCAAAGGTAGAAGCGCCCGATCTCCACATAGCAGCCGGTGTAGAGCCCACAAAGATTCCGCTAAGCAAAGGTAGGTCTTTAGACACTACATTATCTCCAGGAAAAGTATCTCCCGAGCTGCCGCCTCTAGACCGGATGGTATCTGCACCAACAGGCAAGGCTGACATTGAACTCTCGCCGCTCAAGAGATCTCACGAGACCCCGGATCTCGCGGGGCTGTGGCTGGGGACATCCAGGTTCAGCCGCCGAGCGACGACGCCATTAGAAAAGATGCTGCAAAACTTCAGACCGACCTACCTGACGATGAGGAAATTCAGCAAGTCGAAGCGCCTGACACAAATATGGGACTGAAGATTGGCTTTCCACAGATTCACATCAAAGGCCCGAGATTTAGCTTTGGTACAAAGAAGCCAAAAGCGGAAGCCAAAGCTAAAGCAAAGGCAGAAGCAACGCCTTTGGAATTAGACGTAAGAGGGCCTACTGTTGAAGGTGAACTTCCTAGAGCAAAGGGCGACGTAGAAGTAGATGGGGAAATGCCTGACGACCGCCCCACATGGCAAATATCTGGTCCTAAAATACAAATGCCAAAATTACGGGTTAAAGGGAAGGGCAAAGCAGAAGGCAAAATTAAACCACGCCCACCAAGTCTGGAGTTTCCTGATAGGCCAATTCCATACGCCGACGGAGAAATGGAAGTTGACCTACCCGAAACTGATGACTTGACACCTCCAGAAGTTCCACAAATCCAGGGTGGGGTGGTGGTGGAAGGAGACATCAGACCGCCTGCTATTAGAGGCGAAGTAGACGGAACTCTGCCGGAAATCGACGGAGAGGGACGAGTCGTAGTTCAACCCCAAGAGTAGAAGGGCCTGACGTCCGGCCTGAGGATGTACACATAGAAGGTAAACCATGGCAGCTTCCCGACTTCGACTTGAAAGGTCCGAAAATTCGAATGCCGGAGGTGCGACTGAAGGGCCCACAGATTAAAAGACCAAGAGTCGAAGGAGAGGTTGACACACCGGAAGGCAGACTACCCGGGCCGGAAGCTGAGGTACAAGTCCGACCACCTGGCGCTGAGGGACCTGGCGTTTCTGGGGACGTAGAAGGCCCAGATGTGGAGGGAAAAGTCAAGCCCCCAAAGGGGGGCCTTTCTGGGAACCTCCTGAATTCGGGCTAAAAGGACCCAAAATAAAAATGCCAGAGATCCACATTAAAGGACCAAAGCTAAAGGGTAAAGGCCCAAAGGTAGAGGGTGAACTTGGACCACCTGACGCGGATGTAGAACCACCGAAAGGCCGGCTACCACCTGCTGAAGCGGAGGTGGAAGTCAGACCGCCCGGCCCGGACGGTACCATCTCAGGCGATCTGGACGGACCTGAAGTGAAAGGCAGGACACCAAAGGGACAATGGGACCTACCGGAATTCGATCTGAAAGGTCCAAAGATAAAGATGCCAGAAATGCACATCAAAGGACCAAAAGTAAAGGGAAAATTGCCTAAAGGCGAGGCAGAAGGCCCTGAATTAGAAGGCGACCTGCCAACGGGCGAGGCAGCAGGCCCTGACGTTGAACCACCATCAGGTGACGTTGACATCGAAGGTAAGAAACCAAAAGGCCGGTTTTAAACTAGCCCGATTGGAACTGAAGGNGAAGGGCCCGAAATTCAAGGGCAAGAAGCCAAAGGTTTCCGGAGAAGTCGATGTGGAGGGCCCAGAATTCGAAGGCGACCTTCCGTCTGGTAAAGTCGAAGGTCCTGACGTAGATGTTGATGTTCCCAAGGGAGAGATCGAAGGCGAACTTCCATCTGGAAAGATCAAGGGCAAGGGTGACCGTAAGTCCTGGGGTCTGCCCGACATTGACATCAAGGGTCCCAAGGTAAAATTCCCCTCGCTGTCCCGCAAGAAGGGCAAAGGCAAAATCGAAGGAGAGATCGAGGGCGACCTCGAAGGACCTGACGTTGAACCTCCTTCGGGTAAAGTGGAATTGAGGGTCCGTCTGGAGACCTAGACATCAAAGGCAAGAAGCCGAAGGGCGGATTCGAAACTGCCCGACTGGGAACTGAAAGGTCCCAAAGTCAAACTACCAGACTGGGAGCTGAAGGGTCCCAAGGTAAAAGGTAAAAGACCAACCGTAGAAGGTGAAATCGATGCCGAATTGGAAGGCCCAGAAGTGGAAATACCAGGTGCAGAGGCAGAGGTCGAACTTCCAGAAGGGGAGATTCAGCCACCAGAAGGTGGCAAGCGGTCGTCATGGCAGTTGCCAGAATTCCACCTGAAAGGTCCTAAGGTCAAAATGCCTGAAATCGACATCAAGGGCCCCAAATTCAAAGGACGAAAACCAAAGGCAGGAGGAGAACTAGATGTCGATATTGAGGGACCGGAGATCGAAGGCCCCGAAGTCGAGGGAGAGCTACCATCTGGCAAAATTGAACTTCCCGAGGGCAAAGTGGAAGGTGAAGTAACACCACCCGGTGTCGAAGGTGACCTGAAGGTCAAAGGCGACCGTAAGTCTTGGGGATTACCTGAGTTCCATCTGAAGGGTCCGAAAATCAAGATGCCCAAATTCAAAGGCAAGAAACCCAAGGTAGAAGGCGAACTAGAAGGTCCTGAAATCGAGGGCGAACTACCATCTGGTAAGATCGAAGGGCCTGAAGTGGAACCACCATCCGGCGAAGTTGACATCGACGGCAAGAAGCCAAAGGGCGGTTTCGAGTTGCCCGACTGGGAACTGAAAGGTCCGAAATCAAGTTGCCTGACTGGGACTTGAAGGCTCCAAAGTTTAAGGGCAAGGGACCGAAAGTTGAAGGTGAGCTGGAGGCAGACTTCGAAGGTCCTGAAATCGAAGGAGAGATTCCACGGGGCAAAGTGGACATCGAAGGCCCCGAGGTGGAAGTGCCTTCAGGTAAAGTTGACATCGATGTAGAAGGTCCCGAGGGCGAGCTCGACATCGACGGCAAGAAGCCCAAGGGAGGTTTCAAACTGCCTGATTGGGAGCTAAAGGGACCCAAGGTCAAGCTACCTGACTGGGAGCTAAAGAAACCGACGGTCGAGGGAGAAATTGACCTGGAAGGTCCCGAGGGAGAACTGCCGCCCGCCGAGGGTGAGGTTGAGATCAGACCACCTGGCGTTGAAGGTCCGGACGGGAAAATATCTGGTGAAATTGAAGGTCCCGAAGGCAAAGTCAAAGGACCGTCCTGGGAACTTCCGGACTGGGAACTGAAAGGACCGAAAATCAAGATGCCCGAAATCCATCTGAAGGGCCCGAAATTCAAGGGCAAGAAGCCAAAGGTTTCCGGAGAAGTCGATGTGGATGGCCCAGAATTCGAAGGCGACCTTCCGTCTGGTAAAGTCGAAGGTCCTGACGTAGATGTTGATGTTCCCAAGGGAGAGATCGAAGGCGAACTTCCATCTGGAAAGATCAAGGGCAAGGGTGACCGTAAGTCCTGGGGTCTGCCCGACATTGACATCAAGGGTCCCAAGGTAAAATTCCCCTCGCTGTCCCGCAAGAAGGGCAAAGGCAAAATCGAAGGAGAGATCGAGGGCGACCTCGAAGGACCTGACGTTGAACCTCCTTCGGGTAAAGTGGAAATTGAGGGTCCGTCTGGAGACCTAGACATCAAAGGCAAGAAGCCGAAGGGTGGATTCAAACTGCCCGACTGGGAACTGAAAGGTCCAAAGTCAAACTACCAGACTGGGAGCTGAAGGGTCCCAAGGTAAAAGGTAAAAGACCAACCGTAGAAGGTGAAATCGATGCCGAATTGGAAGGCCCAGAAGTGGAAATACCAGGTGCAGAGGCAGAGGTCGAACTTCCAGAAGGGGAGATTCAGCCACCAGAAGGTGGCAAGCGGTCGTCATGGCAGTTGCCAGAATTCCACCTGAAAGGTCCTAAGGTCAAAATGCCTGAAATCGACATCAAGGGCCCCAAATTCAAAGGACGAAAACCAAAGGCAGGAGGAGAACTAGATGTCGATATTGAGGGACCGGAGATCGAAGGCCCCGAAGTCGAGGGAGAGCTACCATCTGGCAAAATCGAACTTCCCGAGGGCAAAGTGGAAGGTGAAGTAACACCACCCGGTGTCGAAGGTGACCTGAAGGTCAAAGGCGACCGTAAGTCTTGGGAATTACCTGAGTTCCATCTGAAGGGTCCGAAAATCAAGATGCCCAAATTCAAAGGCAAGAAACCCAAGGTAGAAGGCGAACTAGAAGGTCCTGAAATCGAGGGCGAACTACCATCTGGTAAGATCGAAGGGCCTGAAGTGGAACCACCATCCGGCGAAGTTGACATCGACGGCAAGAAGCCAAAGGGCGGTTTCGAGTTGCCCGACTGGGAACTGAAAGGTCCGAAAATCAAGTTGCCTGACTGGGACTTGAAGGCTCCAAAGTTTAAGGGCAAGGGACCGAAAGTTGAAGGTGAGCTGGAGGCAGACTTCGAAGGTCCTGAAATCGAAGGAGAGATTCCACGGGGCAAAGTGGACATCGAAGGCCCCGAGGTGGAAGTGCCTTCAGGTAAAGTTGACATCGATGTAGAAGGTCCCGAGGGCGAGCTCGACATCGACGGCAAGAAGCCCAAGGGAGGTTTCAAACTTCCTGACTGGGAGTTAAAGGGACCCAAATTGTCTTTACCTGATTGGGACTTAACTGGAAAGAAGCCCAAAGTTGAGGGACAGGTAGAGGTTGAAGGAGAGTTACCTCACGGAGACATTCCATCTGCTGAAATAGAAGTCCAAGGACCAGAAGTTACACCTGGCGATGTGAAAGTTCAGGTGGAAGGTGACTTACCTGAGGCAGATTTAAAGGGCACAGGTGATCGAAAGTCATGGCAACTTCCAGAGTTCGACTTTAAGGGTCCGAAAGTAAAATTCCCATCGCTACCTCGCAAGAAGGGGAAAGTTAAAGCTAAGGCTGACCTCCCATCAGGTGAAGCAGATATCTCAGGGCCTGATGTGCCGTCCGGAGAACTAGAGGTCAAAGGTGATCTTCCTGAAGCCGACATCAAAGGTAAAGGAGACCGCAGGTCCTGGCAGCTCCCGGATGTTGAGCTGAAAGGCCCTAAGATAAAGTTTCCCTCCCTGCCGAGGAAGAAAGGAAAGATTGAAGGCGAGGCGGAAGTTGAAATCCCGTCAGGTGAGGTCCCGACAGTGAAGCCCGTCCTGCCGCCACCGGAAGCGGAAGTGAAGCTTCCAACCGGAGGAGCGGATATATCTGATAAGGAGAAGAGATCGTCATGGAGGGTTCCCGAGTTCGACCTGGGAAGCCCGCACATCGAAATGACAGAATATCACGTAAAAGTACCGAAAATCACATGGAAATCGCCTAAAGCTGCAGGTCACATTGATGTCGAAGGTCAGGTACCCAAAGGTGACGTCTCCTTCGAAGGACCAAAGGTCGAAGGTGACATCAGACCGCCTGAGGTCGGAGGTGACGTCAAGGTTACTGGACCGGATGCAGACCTTAGAGGAAAGGGGAAAGGCCCCTCTTTCGGCTTTGAACTTCCTGAATTCGAACTTAAAGGTCCCCAAATCGAAATGCCAAAACTTGATATCGCAAGACCAAGGGTAGAAGGTAAAGCAGATGTCGACCTGGAAGGCCCCACAGTAGACGTGGAGCTGCCGACCGTCCCCTCGGCTGAAGCGGACGTTTCTGTAGAAGGCGAGGCGGAGGTTAAACCTCTCGACATCCAGCTTCCCAAGTTCCTGTTACAAAGTGACGAAGTCCCTTCAGCTGACGTACCATCAGGAAAGGTCGAGGTCAAGGGCGAGGTGGACCAGCCCGAGGGTGAGTGGAGTCTGCCTGGACTTGACTTCAAGGGCCCCGGCATCACCATGCCGGACATTGAACTAAAAGGACCTAAACTGGGATTCGGAGAGGCCGGTGTTCAGGGCGAGGTGAAAGGGCCTTCAGTGGAAGGCAAAGCTGCAGACATCCAAGTAGAAGCCCCTTCCGTAGATGTAGACATTCCAAAGGTGCAAGCGGAGCTGGAAGAAATAGAAGCAAAAGTGAGACAAATCAAAGCTGACGCAGGTCAAGTAGAACTAGAAGGCCCCAAGGTAGAAGTAGGAGGAGACAAGAAGAGAAGAAGTTTAGAACTTAAGATGCCATCTGTAAAAATGCCAAGCTTTAAGGTTAAGGGCAAAGGAAAGACTCCCAAAGCTGCCGTGGAGGTCGAGCCACCTGATGTAGAACTCAAGGGTGGGGCCGAAGCGGAGTTGCCAGCTGAGGAGAAAAGAGCGTCGCTAAAACGCCGTAGCTTAGAGATCAAGATGCCGTCCGTCAAGATGCCTTCCTTCAAGGCGAAGGCAGCGGCACCAGAAGCCTCCGTGGACATCACGCCACCAGAGGCAGAAGTCGATTCCAAAGTAGAAGTACCAAAAGAAGACAAGAGATCGTCCCTAAAGAGACTTAGTTTAGAGATTAAGATGCCCTCTATTTCGATGCCCAAATTTTCAGCCAAGGGCAAAACAGAAGTTGAAGTGCAACCACCTGAACTTGACGTGAGCGGACCGGAAGTGGAGATACAACCTCCAAGTGTAGAAGGTGAACTTGAGGCGGAGGCTGCCCCACCGCCACTGCCCGAGAAAAAGAAGAAGAAGAAAAAGAAGCAGAAGCAAAAGAAGCCACCACTTCCGGCCAAGGAGAAAGAGAAGGAGAAGCGAAAGTCTTTGGACGATCGCTTCCGGTCCATGTGGGGAAAAATGACAGGTGGGTGTGAAAAAAAGCGCTATTGTCATCACGAGTATTCCGACAGCTACTGATATTGTATCTATTGTATATTTAGGGGGAGAAGCCCATTTTAATAAGACGATATGAAGTATGGTACAGGAAAGCCCCTTCGAATCGCTTGGTACTGTCCAGATTAGACTAGTACAAAAAAAATTCCCTCGCTCTTTTCGCAAAGTACACATCGCATCTTAATGTCCCGTCCTGAGGAATTCCTTTGATTGCCCTTATGTACGTGGATATACGCAGTTAATATTGCTAATGCCTATATGTCCTTATTCCTGACTCGTCAGGTGGGGGCACGGCAGAAGTGGAGTTACCAACAGTGGAGATGCCGACCTTCGCCATGGACTTCGGAGCGGGCGCGCCCATGCCTGAGGGGGAACTGACTCCCGAGGCAGAGGAAAAGGTACACAAGTACACAAAATAACAAAACCACAGCATGTCCAGGACAAAAGGTACAAAAACCAAACGTTCTGCTGCAGTGGCAAGGAAAGCCGCGATACTTGCATAGTTTGCCTCCCTAATACCTACCCACATACCATATGGACCTTCTAAGTTATTCTGATCACAAATATGTGCACATCACACACACACACACACACACACACACACACACACACACACACACACACACACACACACACACACACACACACTCTCTCTCTCTCTCTCTTTCTATCTATCTATCTATCTACCTATGTTTCAGTATGTTCATTTAAGGGCCACCCAGGAATCTAAAAAGTCAACGAAAAACAATAGCTATAGATTAGCTAAGTTTAAAGACGCCATGTAAGTTCAAAAATCAATCCGTTATATAATATTGTAATGTGTCACATTGCTGTTCGTAGAAACTGGAGCCGCCGTCCCTGGAGGAAGTCCGGAGGATCGACATCCCCAAACTCACGCCGAGGTCCGAGCGGAAACTGGAGGCTGGCGTTCAGCTGAGAGGTCAGTAAACTTTCACAAATAAAACTGCACCTACGCGGTTTAATAGATATCATTCTGTGGCAATTAAAGCATGTGCCTGTACATGTCGTCTACTTTATGTATTGTGTGAGATTCCTCCTGTGTGGAGGAACTCGCTTATGTCCTCTTCCACAATGGATTGGAGGTTTAACTACTGTCAGAGCTACCTATAATGTGACGTTGATTGTACTAACTTGCATAGCACCCAGTCTAAGACCAAAATACATAATAGCTCATCCATTTTCCCGTGTTCTCCGCAGAGCCTAAGGTGGAGCCGTCCTCCAGCCGTGACAGCGCGAGTTCCGTGGAGGAGCTGCGGCGGGAGGACCTGCCCCAGCCCATCGCCGTGGTGGAGAGCGTCATCACCATCGAGCTCACGGAGGACGACATCGCCAAGGGAGAGGACCAGGTAAGACAGACCCCAAGTCCTTTTCCGCAGCCGCACTACTTCAATGACATGTTGTAGTCGCGCCCTCGTGTGATAGACACTTTTATTGCAGGTAAGAGTTTGGGCGTTGCTGAAAGTAAGGATACAAGTCACTGATGACAGAATTAAGTTCTACTTATGAGGTTTGGTTCGTTTAAGGTAATGTTTAGATACGTCCTTACAGTTTAGGGCCCGGCAGGGATCGTCCTACGATCGTCCGTAAACTGGGGAAATTTCTGGAATAGTGGTACATGTGTGACTGCAAAATTCATTACGGAAAGGCTGTCTTAGATCCTTCTTGGTGGTTGTTTCTGTCACAGTCTACTTGAACATTCTACTGCATCCAAATCGTACAACGAACTGCGCCGTAATGTAGACGTTGACTGCAATGTGTGCCCAATAGTAAAGTTTGTCCCGTGTTTCCAGGTGCGAGAGAAGATCGCCGCGTCTATCCAGGACGCCCAGATGAAGACGATTTCTGTTCGCAAACAGTTCATATCATATGGTCTTATCAAATTGTACATGTATATGACCGCGCCGTAACGAAGACATTGACTGTATTTCCAGGTGCGAGAGAAGATCGCCGCGTCCATCCAGGATGCGCAGATGAAGGCGATGCGGGAGCTGCTGCCCCACGCCGAGGCGCACGCCAAGGTCCAGAAACCCGCCGCGGTCGTCGAGCTGGGAGACCAAGTCCAGGTCTGTCCGCAGTTCATAACATGGTCCAGCTTTCCACTCACGCAGTATACATTGATTTCTTGTTATTGTTTTTGAGCTAACATGCGGCAAACGCTGTTTACCTCTCCATTGGACATTGATAACGAGTGTGAAATCATTAGGTTTTCTTTTTAGAATCGTTACGTTTGGTAGTACTGTGGCGTACTCCCCTATCATCAACAAGTGCAATTTTATTTGTATTGTTCACATCGCTTATTTTGAGTTGAGCATTTCTCTGTTATTTTAATCATTCTTTATTCGTTGTTCTCTTTTTCTGTCGTCCTAGGTGTCCAAGCTAACCCCGGGTGAGAAGAAGGTGAAGATCAAGTCCAAGCTTCCATCATTTAAGTCCAAGATTCCTCTCCTAAGATCATCTAAGAAAGCTAAGGCGGCTGGAGCGGAGGCTGCGGCCGAAGCCGCTGCCCCTAAAGCGGAGGTGAAGCGAGAGTTGTTCCCGGGGGAGGAGGAGGAGAGCTGGGCGCCCGTGTACGGTCAGCAGTTCCACTTCGAGACGCAGGAGACCATCACTATAGAGGGCGACGCCGAGTTCTCCACAACATCACCCGCCAAGAAGGAGATCAAGAAACGGCACTCCTGGAAACTCAAGTCTAGTAAGAAGAAGGAAGGCGATACCGAGGAGGGGGCCGAACCTGTCACCTGGTCGGAGGCCATGGGGCGGGCTGAGTACGCCGAACTTTTAGATGTATTCCCGAGAAGTGTGGTGGTCGAGATCGAGCCAGAATCCGCCACACAAGAAGCTGCAGTGGAAGCAGAGTCGGCAGAGGGCGCTGCTGCGGAGCAGGTTGAGGTTAAGAAAAGGTCTAAAATATTCTCCCTGACGAGCAAGAAAAGCCGAAAGACGGAGCAGAGGAAGTCGTTAGAGGAAGTGGAGTCGTCACACAGACCATTCCGAGAGCTGGAGGAAGGCCGCGCGCTACAGATGACGTTCGGCCCTCCGCCCACGACAGAAGCGAAGGAAGAGAAGAAGAAGAAAAAGAAGAAGGGAAAAGACGAGAAAGAGCTGGAAGAAACCGGCGAGGTACCGCTCCAGGCAGAAGCAGCAGCAGCAGAAGAACAGTTCCTGGTCACGCGCAGTGCGCCCTCATCGCCACTGATCGACCGGCAAGCCGACCTTCGGGAAGCCAAGGCGGAAGGACAGCTCTCCTTCACGCCTCCCCGCGGCAAGAGACCGACCTCCGAGGAGAGGCCGCCCAGGAACCTGGGCCTGAAGCCGCTCAAGCCCGCCCGCAGGTCTCGATCCCTGCCCCCTACCACACAGAGATCGGCACCAGGCAGGGGAAGGGGTCGCGGCCGAGGCGGAGTGCGGCCAGGCCCGAGGCAGGCTCGGCCTAGAGGGCGCGGCAGGGGGATGCCCAGGCCCGGCCCGGGACAACCTCTACAGCAACAACAACAACAACAGCAGAGACCGCCGCAACAGCAACCCCCGCAGGGCGGACCCTTACACTACTTGTAGTATATGCTGGACAAGGTCAAGTGCACCGGATGTTCCAGCCGGAAGTACGTCAGCAGAGAACAGAGCACCGACCATCTTCCGGACAAACCCGCTTAGCGGGAACTCACGAACCGTACAACTAAGAACTAGGAAATGGTTAATATATATTACAGGTAGTAAATCTTACGAGATGATTCTGAACTAGACAATTTCTGATTCAAACGGGACAGAGGACTTAGTCTCCTTGCGGTTTCAATTGGTACTGCAGGAATCCAGATGGCAATGGCATCTTAATTTACGGGCCTCCAAGCACGTGCAATTCACGTGATGTTACTGAACATTTCATTGTAAAATACCGTAAACACGTAAATATATATCGACGTGTGGTTCTTGAACTTTTAATGTAAACATGGGTAAGATACCTCTATTGTCTCTTCTATTGTAACTCTTACTAAATTAAGGCTATGTTTCAGTTTTTACTTTAGACGAGTTCACTTTTAACGTGCACAACTTGATTTGTTGTAAATACTATTATTGCTACCTGGCTTCTATTTCTTCCCGACACTGAACATTGGTGCCTTCCTTCACTGGTATGTTTTCTCTCCCCTCCAAGCTGTTCTGAACGGACTGAATATGATTCATTTTATCTTGTATGCACCACTGTACAGGATTGATTGGCCTTCCGTATTAAGAAAGGCGGAGTTTCTGATGTACACATGTATATGAGTTCAGTAGCAATCCTGAATATGAACGGCTTATGGAAAGTACGTACTTTATTACACGTAGAGGCTTCGACTGAGAAGTTTTGATTCCGCTTGTGCCTTTGTGTAGAAGGTGGGAGTGAAGCGCCACGAATTTCGCCCGAACGCCGCTGTAATCTCAGGTTCTTTACGTTCTCACAACTAGGAAGTCTCAAAAATCAGCACATCACGATTGTGACTGATTCTGAAATAGGAAAGAAAGTATCTGCAGTACTGCAGGATTTCGAAAATTGGAATAACTCGAGGCAGCAAAGAATTAATAATGCTTCAGCCAAAAAAATCGCACTGGTAGTGAAGTCGACACGGTGTACATTTTGCCTAGCGGACTGATACCCACCGCTCTAGACGAAGAAAACTAGGAAAACCCGTCACAAAAAGTCAAGCAAAGACCTAAACAACAAACTGGCTGTCTGCCTGCATATGTTGAGAGCTTGTTGATGTATACTACGGTGTACGGCAAGCGGCGACAGTGGTGTGTGATGTAAGATAAGATGGAATTAAGCGCAAGTAGAGAAGTTACGCGACAAATGTGTTATCTGTATGATAGTTAAGAGTGACTAAGTAGTAGTCTTGGGTTGTCTTTCAGCGCCGACGCTGCGAACTGAGGTTTTCTAGAGAGAGCTTTACTTTTATTTTTGCATGAATGCTTAAAAATGAACAAACACTAACAGGGTCAACAAGGGTCACTGTAGAACACCGCCATGTCCTACATGTCCACAACTAATGTTTGAAACTTCTGCTTATGGGAAGGCATACGGAAGTGATGTACTATATTTGGGTTATGATACTTGTAGGCAGTAACAGAGCCTGGGGATAAAATATAAGACGCGGATAATGAGAACTGTAATGCGTTAGACCCTGGCACATGTAGAACATCTCATGAACTGTTACTGACCTTCAATAAACATGGACGTGCTGGCTCTTGATTAGAACTGTGTCCTGTCTTCATTGTGTACACTATACTTGCTACAATAAAGAACTACATTGTATATACAAGAACTTTTGAATGCTAATTGGGGGAAAAGGAAAATAACAGAAAACTAGTGTCTTTGATCCTTGGCACGACGATTCATTTTAATGGTTTGCTCTTGTATACATAGTTATGATAAAAGCTGTCTGGCACAGTTCCCTTTATAAGAGAGACCACCTTTTGTTTACAATTATTGGTAGGCAATGATCAGCAAATCATTGATATGCATATGCAAGTCATTGGTAGGCAAAATACCCATCACCTACATTTTGCCTACCACTCAGCCGGCCATCTCGTCAAATTGATAGCTCATATATCTGGCCCCAGGGAATGTACACATGTCAACAGGATTTCATCTTCGTCAAGATTCAATGTGTTGGGAGTTGCTCCAGTGGCCAAAACTTTACCCATAGGGTAACAGACTGGTGCCCACCTGTGTGTCAGGGACCCCTGTAGCATTAGGGTTTAATATTGGATACTGCTACACTACTAGTGAGAGCATCCAGGATAGACCTGATCATCAGGAGTACCTATTATATTGAAACATAAGAAAATCAACTTATGGAAAATGTAAGAAATTAATCAGTAACGTGATATCATTCTAACATCAAGTAAAAACAGAACATTTGGTCACAAAATAAAATCTTATTCAAGGTCTATAAGGTTATTTAGTCATTAAGTCATTCAGACTTGTACTGGGGTGAATTCTTAAAAAATACATGCAACCGCCCCTCTTCTTTGGGGTGGATTGATCCGTGATAAAATTGAACTTATGTAACACCTAATGCTGTGGCATGTTCCACTGTGTGACAGGGGTGTCCAGGGTTACCGCTCCGGTTTCTGCAGATTGAAAACTCGAGCCGTGTTGTCTCCTGATGATGTCAGGACAATGTTCCCATCCCTGCAGGCAAAGAGTCACAAAGGGTTCAGGGTTTAAAACAAACAAACAAACAAACAACAAACAGTCCAATGACTCATAGAAATGCTAACAAATAATACATCTACTTGTACATTCAATATGACTCTTGACTGGATTTCAATGGTGTAAACAGTATGGAATTCCAATTTGCAAATCTCTATCTACTGCAAAATCAGGCACTCTACACCAATTGAAACATGAACAGAAGTACTAGTAACAATGAACTGATCCTGTAGCCCATCCACAACCTTAGCTGAAATAGACAAGTGAGAAACATTCAATAGATACATAGATAGAAAAGCACATATGCCCAGAGGCTGCCACTTTCTGATAGGCTAGTCTGATTTTTGACTGACAGCCAGAATCAGACCACACCCCACCTGCTGACAGCCATGTCGAGTATCTCCTCTGCATGTCCTGTAAGCTGCTGTACGGTGGAGCCGGTCCGGCTGTCCCATATTCTGGTCACCCCGTCCAGACAGCTACATACATACATACATACATACATACATACATACATACATACATACATCCTAACCACCAGACAGCTACATACATATATACATACATCCTAACCCCCAGACAGCTACATACATACATACATACATACATACATACATACAACCAGACAGCTACATACATACATACATACATACATACATACATACATACATCCTAACCACCAGACAGCTACATACATACATACATACATACATACATACATCCTAACCCCCAGACAGCTACATACATACATACATACATACATAAATCCTAACCACCAGACAGCTACATACATACATACATACATACATCCTAACCCCCAGACAGCTACATACATATATACATACATCCTAACCCCCAGACAGCTACATACATACATACATACATACATACATACAGTACATACATACATACATCCTAACCACCAGACAGCTACATACATACATACATACATACATACATACATCCTAACCACCAGACAGCTACATACATACATACATACATACATACATACATACATCCTAACCACCAGACAGCTACAAAAGTACATACATACATACATACATACATACATCCTAACCACCAGACAGCTACATACATACATACATACATACATACATCCTAACCACCAGACAGCTACATACATACATACATACATACATCCTAACCCCCAGACTCCCCACCTGCTGACGGCCATGTCGAGTATCTCCTCTGCATGTCCTGTAAGCTGTTGTACGGTTGCGCCGGTCCGGCTGTCCCATATTCTGGTCACCCCGTCCAGACAGCTGGTGTACAGCAGGTAACCCGACTCCACCCACTGCAGACGGACTATTCCACCCTACAGGGGTTCAGGGGAAACACGTGAGGCTTGTACATTCATGACATTTGTACTTCTGAGTTTAAGGGACTACAGACAGATTTGAATATATCTTTTATCTCCCATATAGCAAAAATAGGTAAATTATATAAAAGACTGCATTGTTATTCGAAAAAATGGCAACACTCATGATTATAACACTATATCAAAAACTCATGCCAGCCCGTATTGTTTTGGTAATTAGGATGTTAAGTTTAGTCAATACCACATTTTTTGTACAATGTTCAATATTTGTAATACATTGTATACTGTACAATCATTGTGCAATAAAGACAGCACACAAGAAAAGCAAAATTCACACAGATCACATTGATACAATGCTGAATATAAACATAAACATGAATTTTAGAACATTTACTCACAGGATGGCTGCACTTATGTCTCTGTACCCCAGTCGGGATGTCCCAAACTCCCAGGGTGCCGTTCAGCGAGCCCACTGCTGCCAGGGGTTGGCTAAAGGTCATAGGTCAAGGAAATGTTAGCAAGAAGGAATTTCCAAAAGGTCTAAACAATACTCATTTATTTAAACATACACAATTCCACACAGATTCTGTTCTTGTGCTAAAGAGAGGAATAGCACAGCAAATACATACAAGTTGGAACAGAATACATGTACATTCAGAGGGCCAGTTATGAAATGCAAAAGCACTAAGATATGATCACCTCCTACTGAGTCCTACAGCCTCCACAGAGTTGGTGTCCTCGTCACTGCCTGTCTCTGGGCCGGCTGTATAACCTGACACACACTGTAAGAGAAACATGAAAGTTCATCTGTGTTGGTAGTTACATTTTTATACAGACAGTCATACAGTTTATATCAAATTACATGTTTAAAGTTTAAACTTTAGATTCAACACCATAAAGTTCTCTCACCTACATGTAGGGTTTTGACCAGTCACTCTGGTCTTCCTCAGACTCAGCTGACTGACCCAGTGACCGAAAGAAGCCACATGACAAGCCTCACTGGGTTAGTCTACTGAGGAAGACCAGAGTGACTGGTCAAAAGTTCTAGGTGAGAGAAGTTTATTGTGTTGGATCTATAGTTTTAACTTCAAACATGTAATTTGATATAGACTGTATGACTGTATATATGAGCTAACACAATTAAATACAATATTGTGTACATCTGAGTACAACTGTGAACGTCTAGTCCTTTTTGTCTAGCCCTTTTTGGTACGACTTGTGGTGAGATGTTAGTTAATTTCCTACCTTCCCAGCAGCTGAGTTCCAGATCCGTGCCGTCCCGTCCGTCGCCCCCGACATCACCAGCACGTTGTCATGGTGACAGTCCAGACAGGTCACTGCCCCCGCATGACCCTGGTGACCTTTGGAAGAAAAAATTTGGATGACATGAAAAACAAGATACATTTTTGCCTTGATTCACGCTCCCTTTCTTGATAACCACAGCGGAAGCTAACACTTTTAAAGGTAGGCCTTTCTATCCAACATGTACTACAAACATGTACATGGTATTGATGATTCTCATTTTTATATGTTGCAGTTGGGTCCTTTTATAATGTACAAGGAGAGTGACAGATTGCACTTAATATTTACAGCTCTCGGTGGCAAATGCGCTGATGTTGACACATTGGTGCACCAAATCCATAGTTTTGGACAGATAAGCTGAAGAGGCTCAGTGGGCGTCATTCCACCGTACACCGAGGGAAGTTGTGTAAAGTGCCATTCCCAAGGGCACAATGTATTGGTTCCAAGCCCAACACTCTAACCGTGCACACTTTTGCACCCTTTTGAATAATCCTAAAATCCCTTGTTATACAATTACTCTTTTGGTAAAAAAATTCTGACCTGAGAAGGTGTGAAGTGCCGCGCCCTGCTTCAGGTCCCACACCTTGACTGCTCCGTCCTCGTATCCCACAGACAGACGCTTACCTGTGGGGAACCACCTGTTAGTCAATGGACTCTTCCAAAGTACTACAGTATGTAATGTGTGATGTGCAAAGTGGATTGTACCACTGTGCTGTGTGTTGTGTATCAAAATGCATGTTTTTCTGTGCTATTCAAGCACTTGTACTACTAAACAATTGAAATGAAAGCTCCAATTGAAAGCAAGTGTTTTACAAGAAGCTGTACAGGAACAAAATTTGACTACAGTAGGACAAAGCTTACATACCTGGAAAGGTCACAAGAACCTATATCTTTTCACTTACTAGTATTCTTTTTCCTCAAACAACCAATTTAGAAACCAACCATCCAAACAAACCAGTGATGGTGAGAACATTCTCAAATTCTAACATGTAAAAGCTTCAAGTTCAAGGTAGAACATTACTCACCATCTGGCATGACCTTGCCTGCCGTGCTCTGACACCCGTGACCTTGAAACGTCTTACAGTCTCCGCTGGGAACCTTCCACATCCAGACATCCCCGTCCACCGTCCCTGCCAACAGGACCGGAGCCGCCATGTGCCAGTCTAACCACTGGGGGGCAAAGGTCATAAGTCATGTGTCAATACAGCCACTGGGAGGGCAAAGGTCATAAGTCAATCTACCTTGAGTACCTCCTCTACAGTTACTGTTAACTTGGCTATCTAAAACTACTGTAAGAAACTTTGATGTCTTTTTGTATGTACCATAAAATCACTTACTACAAAGGGACAATGTCAATTCTCAGTCATAGCTGGAAACAAGGGGGACACTTTGGACCCACTACTGACATCACTAGCCTATGTAACCCAAGCTCCGGGGGGCTCCCTACATAGTCTGCCACCCGGGGGCTATGACATCACATACTCTAACTGGTTTGTAAAGTCACCAGTTATTGTGGGTTCTTCTTCCTGAAGAAGGTTCAATGGTCTAAAACAAGATTTTTTTTCAGTTTCGTTTTGTTGGATTTGAACTGCTGATTCTCAGCAAGTGTCTGAAGCGGAATGTTTTGTAACTGAGATTGATTTTATTTTCTACTACATAATTCTCTATCTAGATGTCTAGCCTTCATTGACAAAGCTATATCACTAATCAGAATAACTGTAGAGATTTCTGCTCACCTCCAAGTCGGAGACCTCGAACTCCCAGACCTGTTCTCGGCTGTTGACGTCCCAGGCCTTCACCAGCCCGCCCATGTCACCCGTGGCAACCAGCGCCGAGTTGTGGCTGAAGCACGCACACGTCACCGAGTCCTTGTGACCTGGGGTCAAACAGGGAGTTTGCTCTTGGAAAATTGTCTTGTATAACGAGATTTAAGATGTAATGATTGAAATCTCACAGTGTAAGTGTTTACAAATAACAAAATACATGTAACACTGAGGCTAAAAAGCATTCAACTCACACTCACTCACTAACTCACTCACTGTCCTGGCTTCAAAGCATTCAACTAGAAATACTTAATAGCACTTAATTCTGCTATTGCTTGGTATACTGATATATAAACATAGAAAAACTATACTGTGAAACCACGAAATGTAGTGTCTTTTCAATTTTTCTCTTTTCATGCTTATAGAACTAGAAGTCCTATTGAAAGTGTCTCTTTCATGATCTCCATCTTTCTCTTGCAGTCCTTTATTTCTTCCCTCCCTCCCCAACTCACCCCCACATTCCATCAGGACCTCTCCATCCGCCAGTCTCCACACGTAAGCCTTGTCATCCTCCCCTCCCGTCACTGCCAGGGACTCAGTGGTACGGTCCAGCCCTATGCAGAACACTGAGCCTGCAGGGGACATGGGCAGAACCATTGTGAACATCGGGGGGAGAAATGTTCACCTCATAATTCACCAATGACTAGCAATAAGGAAACTATAAAGGAAAGCCTGGTTGGGGGTGTAGTGATTACGAATTATGCAAAATTTTCACTGCCGATTACGAATTACGTTAAATTCTCAGACCTGACAACGTACAATTACGCTAATATATGTTTGTTATCAAAATACAGATTTTTTTTTCCACTATTAAAAGTGAAGAAGTAACTCTGACCTATGTGTTTACTGAAGACCACATCAGCATCATCTGTCATCATCTCCATGTCCCCCTCAGCACCCTCGTCACCTTGGTTACTATCACCATGGTTACCGAGGTCTATCTCATCCATCTCGTCTGCAAGAGCTGAGGAATACAGAACGTTTCTATGTCAACAGATTAGCTGAGGAAAGCTGGATACTGGGCCAGCATGTAATCTCAAATTGCAAAAAACAGAGCCTAGGGATCTCTCACACTTGGCATTGAGGTTTAAAAGTCTCTAGATACATTGTCAAGACAACATGGATAAACATGACTGCAATTCTGAATAATTCATAATTTGATAATTCATAATTTGATAGAAATTGAAACACCTTCTTTCATAAATGATACAGGACAACAACATCAAGTTGTCTTGATGGCTGAATCAAACTTACATTGAGATACCATTAAACACACATAATAATAACACAGCATGATTTAGAAAACGATCACAAAACACGTCCAAAAATGTTCTATGTATATACAGATACTAGTATGTATATATAGTCTTTTCTGGGATAGGATAGCCTTTCAAAAGTTCACTCAAAGCTACACATAATTACCTTGACAGCGAAAATTGTCTTATTGTGCCCCTTTTCTCCTTTATTTGCTTTAATCAGTGACAATGTGCAGGTATTCGTACAAAATCTTACACTACAGTCTGTCACAAAAAATACTGTCGCCCCCCTCCCCCTTCGATCCTCACACTTACCGTCGTCTGCTTCTGGTCCTTCGAGTTCTATCACCTCTTCAATGTCACCTTCATCGAACCCAGCGTCATCGCTGTCCGTGTCTCCCCCAACCGGGCCAGGATCGCCCATTTTTCACCTCAAAACGCCTGAAAATTGAGAAAAACAGACGAGAAAATCACCCAACCCACGTTCTTTCCTCGCTAAAGGTCAGAGGTCAATGGTGCAGGTACATCTGCTTGCAGTTCAGATATAAATCGCTAGAGGCCACTAATGCACGGTGTTACTGTGTACATGCAGTAGTGGTAACATAGCATAGCGTTGGGACATTGCAGCGGTTTGACTTCATTGCGACCCATATTCTGCCTGAAATCGTTCTTTAACTATACTTGGATTTTGCGAAATTCTAAACAAATTGTTGGAAGAGCGTCAGTATGCATAGTTTGAGCAAAATGCCCGAAAAATGGCCCCCCTCCCCACCTGTCCTGACAACAACACGGCTGATAGTGATACACAAGGCCATTTATAATATCCTTGTGCAAAAGTAAAAAAGAACTGTCGAATTGACAGTCCTAATATTAACTTTATAGCTTGCATTACTATCACTGAAACATACAAACAATCAAAGATCACCTACATCGGCTGCATTTGATGATAAAGTGGCGAGAAGCAGCTCTGAGCTCCCCGGGATGTTTACGGCACTGAGCGTGTTGTCCTCCCGCCCAGGCTCTTGTCGTGAGTCAGTGAAATTTTACGGGGTTGGTTTCATAAACCTGCTGGAAATATAGGGTGTAATAAAGTTCTATCCTAAGCAGGACTGATAAAGGACTAAAAATTAGAACACCCAAAGCCATAATTAATAGGCTTGAGTCTTCAAGCCATCGGGAGCAGCCCGGTGTCTCTACGGCGCTGGGAGTGTTGCCCTCCCGCCCAGGCTATTACCGAACGCCGATGGAATTTTACGGGGTTGGTTTCATAGTCCGGCTGGAAATATGGGCTGTCAGAAAAGGCCTATGTTTAGTAGAACTGGTAAAGGACTAAAAGGCAGAACACCATAAGCCATAATTACCAGGCTTAAGACTGCAAACAACGAGCAACAACCGTACGGGAGGGGAGGGGGGACGTTACGGGACTTGGCGGGGCGAATCCATCACTGGTCCCGAGGACTTGGTCCCTCTAATGCGGTGACGTTTTGGCCGTGTATTTTTATCAAAGGCGTCCATTAAAAGCTGGACATTCACACAGAATATGTCTGTTATATTGTCATCATAAATTCAGTGTCTGTCTACCGGCTGTATTCTCGAATATTTAAAGGATAGACTGGGCAAAAGTCGGCTAAACACCGGGAGCTCCCCGGTATCTCTACGGCGCTGGGAGTGTTACCCTCCCGCCCAGGCTCTTACCGTACGCCGGTGAAATTTTTACGGGGTTGGTTTCATAAACCTGCTGGAAATATATTCTATAAGAAAATTCCTATGCTTAGTAGGGCTAGTAAAGGACTAAAAATTATATATATGGCATCGAAAGATAAAGACTGAGCAATGAGCAACGACCACGGGAGGGGAGGGGGGACGCTACGGGACTTTGCGCGGGCGAATCTGTCACTGGTCCCGAGGACTTGGTCCCTCTAACGCGGTGAAGTTTTGGCCGTGTATTTTATCAAAGGCGTCCACAAAACGCCGATCATTCACACAGAATATGTCTGTTATATTGTCATCATAAATTCAGTGTCTGCCTTTTGGTTGTATCCTCAAGAATTTAAAGCCTAGACTGGGCAAAACTTGGCTAAGCCTGGTAACCATTAGCCTGGTATCCAGTCTGATTCGTGGTCGGCGCCGCAAGAGCTCTGGCCCGCCCGCCTCACATAAGCGTCCCGGTGTGTATTTCACGAGAGATTAATTAGCCCTCCACGAACAGGAGAAAGCTTTAATCTTCCGCCTCTCGACAGCCCCCCCCCCCAATTCTGACAATAGGCTGTGCTCTTTAGCCTAATTAAGCACATTCATTAAAAAGTAATGATTGGGAATTGTAGATTGTGTGCAGGATAGCTAGAAAAGTCCAAAAAGTCGGATCAGAAATGTTCTTTTTCACGTTAGGAGAAAGCTTTAATCTTCCGCCTCTCGTGACCGCCCCCCCCCCATTCTTGTACATGTATATGATTGTATATGATATATCTGGCATATGCATGTTAACAATCATAAAGTTTCCTAAAATGTTACCCTTCGGAAAAGCTCCCATTTCTCCACATAATCATGAGGTTTAATCAAACCTTCTTGACACATTGCAAATGCCCCATTGTAATCCTATCGCATATGATCATAATTTACGTAATTTATAAAATACTCCCAAAAATATTTGTCAAAAAAAATTATGTTTCCGTGCTTTGTAATGTAATAGAGGGGCAGCGAGTAGGCAAAAATCAGGACACGGCATTGAATTTCAGATATTGCCCCTCCCCCGCACGTGAAATGGTACAGTCCGCCTGTGGTGACCGCCTCTCGTGCCCGCCTCTCGTGCCCTACTCCAATACTCGCGTCACCCCTTACTCTTTTATTCTGCAAGCCTTATGATGTCATTGAAGTTTTTTTTTCTTTTTTTGTATTCAACAAATTCTTTTTATTATACCTTATCATGACATTGAAGTTTTTTTTCTTCTTTTTTGTATTCAACAAATTCTTTTTATTCTGCAAGCCTTATCATGTCATTGTAAGTTTTTCTTTTTGTATTCAAAAATTCTTTTTATTATACCTTATCATGACATTGAAGTTTTTTTTCTTCTTTTTTGTATTCAACAAATTCTTTTTATTCTGCAAGCCTTATCATGTCATTGAAGTTTTTTTCTTCTTTTTTGTATGTACATGTACTTTTTATAAGTCAACTAACTATTTCAAGCAACTGCTTCAACTAAACTAAACTTTTGTAGTTAACTAAACTGCTTGCTGCACTCCTCACACCTTTAAGGTTTTTACCAGTGTGAGTTTTTATGTGTCTCTTCAGATTATCCAGCCGACTAAACTGCTTGCTGCAGTCCTCACATCTGTAGGGTTTCTCACCAGTGTGAGTTTTTATGTGTCTCTCCAGATTAACCAGCTGACTAAACTGCTTGCTGCACTCCTCACATCTGTAGGGTTTCTCACCAGTGTGAGTTTTTATGTGTTTCTCCAGATTAACCAGCTGACTAAACTGCCTGCTGCACTCCTCACATCTGTAGGGTTTCTCACCAGTGTGAGTTTTAATGTGAGACTTCAGAGTACCCAGCTGACTGAACTGCTTGCTGCACTCCTCACACTTGTAGGGTTTCTCCCCTGTGTGAGTCCGCATGTGTTTCTTCAGATTATCCAGCAGACTGAACTGCTTGCTGCACTCCTCACATCTGTAGGGTTTCTCACCGGTGTGAGTTTTTATGTGTCCCTCCAGACTAACCAGCTGACTAAACTGCTTGCTGCACTCCTCACATCTGTAGGGTTTCTCACCAGTGTGAGTCCGCATGTGAGTCTTCAGATGACCCAGCTGAATAAACTGCTTGCTGCACTCCTCACACCTGTAGGGTTTCTCCATGTTGCGAAGAATCTGCAGAGACAAATGAAGCATCATTAAAAACCCAAAAGACGACAGACTTACATTTTTTACATTGACTGATTGAGCCCCTATTGTAAGTTGGTGGCATTTTTATACCTGTAATTTTGAATTTTAATCCGAATAACTTGCATGTAGGAATGAGTTCCAGAAACCTTAACATAAAATTGCCACAAAATTTCCGGAAAAGGATTTTCAATAATAACGTATTCTTGGGTTTCAGTCACGTGACCCGACCTTAGCGACGGGTGTTATCCGCCATTTTGGTGTACCTACAACCCCGCGTAGCCTATGCGCTATGTACATGGTTCATTGTTTTGTAGCTGGTTGCGGGTCAAAA